TTTAAATGAAACTATAACATGTTCTAGCTTGTAACATTAAGTTTAAAACAGCTAGCTCGTACATTCGTACATACTTGTGTATCTCGAGATATTTCAAATTCTTTATTTTTACCAATAATTAAAGTAAAGGACATTGTCCAGAATTCTTAAGCTAGGTCAATAACTGTACCAGAAAATGCACTGAAAATGTATTAATATGCAAAGCGAGCTAAAAGTAGCAATGATGAAAAACACATCTTACAATACCTTCAGAATTAACTGGGTTGATTAGACGGTCTGGATTGCCCCACATGAAGGCTAAAATACAATATAAGTTCACTTGGCACTGGTAAGAGTAGTTAGAGACAAGGGAGTCTCAGTTGATAGAGGGTGCAGATGTTTCTTGGGTTGGGGCATGGGTTATATCACAGCCCATCTAATATTTCAGTATATAAAGGAATTGATGGAGATACATTCTTGGGTGGTTTCGGCCATAGGGTTGCATGTCCAGCCAGTAAAATTCTATCAATGGTTTGTTGAGGGAAATAATATCTAGGCTCACCTGGTTTGGGGGTGGGTCACACCCCTCAGGGTTGAGAGGGTGACAGTAATCAGAGGGTGTACCCCTTTTGGTCAGTCAACCAGTTCATACTAGAGGTTCAGATTAGATTCCACTATCACTACCATTAAGAGACCATTACAGTTGATTTCACATAACTTTTCCCTAAATGTTGCAAACTTCGTTGCAAAGTTCATAATCATATTCACAAACCATTTGTAAACAATGCATTTGATTGGCTTAGACTTTTATTTCAGGTGCATACTAAGCTGCATTGGTGGGACTGTGAGAGGTTATAGTGGTAGTGAAAGCTCTGAATCTGAACCTCTTGATCACTTGAATGGATTTTTTTTATCCCTGATTAGGTACAAAATCAATATACTACTGACCTAATATACCAACAATCGCCATCCCAACAAGATATACGATGAAAAGAATACAACATGGGATATCTGTGCAACTCCTAAGATAGTGGTAAAAATGTTCGAAATAATGCAGTTTATAATATATATTCAAGAATAGATCAATGGATGAGAAATTAGGTAAAAACCTGTTTTTGATTGGGCCACTAAATTCTGGATCAAATTTTCTTGATTTACCTATTAATTAAGAACGGGTCATCTTAGGTGGTCATAAAAATCTTATTACTTTTTTTCAAAACAGCAAAATATTCACTAACATAATTAATGTTTGTATGTGTTTATAGTGTATAATTGTCATGGCAATTTTTCAAATACTTTTACAGTGATGACACAAGTTAATTTTGGATTATACAAGGTGTATAAAAAAAAGGTAATCGAACTTCAGCGCGCTATTATACGTGAATCACTCGGCGTATGAACAATTGGTTTTCATATTCGGAAAGATCATGCTTTTAGCTACTGAATGACATGCTTTTCATGCCAAGTGGAGAAAAAATAAGCATGTACGAGGCCGATTAAAAATGTTAGTCAAAATCACATATTTTCACCTCTGTACCTAATTAAAACAATGCATAACAAAAGAAAAAGCAATTAATCACAAACGTGTCCTAGCTTAGCTAAGATTTATTCCTACTTAATAATAATTATGAATATGTGCGTCGTTTATTGAAGTAAAATTCATCAACTTAAGTACCAAAGGGGGTTCATTTTCAATGGTTTTAGACCCAACTCTCAACGGTGAAAATATGCGATTCTGACTAACATTTTTTATCGGATTCGTATTTGCTCATTTTTTATCCATTTGGCATGAAGAATATATCATTCAACAGCTAAAAGCATGATCTTTCCGAAAGTGAAAAAATCTCGTTCATACGCAGAGTAATTCAGATACAATAGCGCGCTGAATTTCGATGACCTTTTTTTTATACACCCTGTATATGTGTCTGAAACGATGGCAAAAATGAGGGTCTAGTTAAAGCTACGGATACACGGGCAATACTTTTCTGGCGATGGCAATGCAATGGTGGTAAAATCGTTGCATTGCCGCCGCGAGAAAGAAATTGCTTGTGTATCATGCTCTGCGACGGCAATGCAAAGCTGCGCGCAATCGTTGCCGAAATTTCAAATCATTTGCTTTTCGGCAATGATTGCCAAAAATTGGGAGGTGTGGTCAAGGAAGGTCAAGGTTGATGAATGACACGTTTCTTGACCAGCCAATGAAAAGCGTTATGAAGACATATACGGGGTAGGTGAAATATTGCAGGTGTAGCCACCTTGTGCGACGGCAATGCAATGCTGTTATCATCCATTGCGTAACCATCGCAGCAAAAATATTGCTCGTGTATCCGAAGCTTGAGATAGAGGGTCTGAGTAAGTGTAGCTGAAATGCATTGTACAATAATGTACCGATCAATTCGAAACTTCAACATCTCCCCGAATTTGACTTCAAGTCTTCTCCAGGGAGTAGGGAATTTGACGTTCTAGATCTTCCATGTGGTGGGGCATTTGATAAGGGTGGTGGGGCATTTGATAAGGGTGGTGGGGCATTTGATAAGGGTGGTGGGGCATTTGATAAGGATGGGGGAATTTGAACCGGAGGTCTTAAAATTTTGCTCGTTTTCGCTTCGTGCATGCAGGCTACTAATTACTAAAACACTACAGAAAAGGCTTCGCATTGGCGGCAAATACAGTTTTCTCAGATTGCGAGGTAAAAGGGCACAATTTTGTGAAAAACTGGCTCAAAGAAACGGGCATGGAAAAGCTATGTGCTTCATTTGAAGGTATGTACTATAAAATTGTGTAAACCTGTCAAATTTCCATAATTAGGTTTCCAAACTTTTTAAGTGAATTTCGCTGTCTCGCCGAAAAACATTTCCATATATTTTCCCTTTTTGTTTTTACCGCTTCATAATTTTCATATGAAGGTGGGGCATTTGAACGCTTAATTTCTTGTTACAGTGGGGCATTTGAAGACATTTTTTGCACAGGTAGGGGAGAATTTGATCAGTCAAATTTCAAAAAGTTCAAATTCCCGGGGTCGGTCTGAAGGCTGTTGAAGTTTCGAATTGATAGGTACATAAGCTTCCTAAGGTGCAGGTGATCCCCTTGACGAGTAAATTTGACTGGTGTTAGACAAAAATAAAAAACAATCTAGAGCACATTGCCACTCAAAGGGTTAAATATTAAAGGAACTGTTTGATGTGTCACGCAACAACTTCCTGACTTCACATGTTTTTATTGTTTTTCAGGAAGTTCAGACACAAATAGCCGGAGTGTCAGACAAATAACGAAATCGTCTGACACTCAAGCTAAGCCACAAAGGATTATAGGATTCGAAAGTGATTTTCACAAAGCTGACAGTAGTGATCATCTCTGGTATTCTGGTTTATTAGTTTGGTTTATTAGTTTGTGTGAAAGTGCGATTATAGTTTAGGTCCATTCAATATTATTGTCTCAGCCCTTGAAGAGTTAAAAATGAGGTTGGCAAAACAATATAAACGCCAACCTAAATCTGACCCAGGGGGTCCAACACTCAGCATTTTTAGCATACCATCTCCTACATTGTAATTTCAAAACAGCAGCAGCCAGTAACACAATCATACTTTTTAATATTCTGACGGCTGCTTTCCGTTAGAATTACTGACATTAGCCTTGCAGTTTCCCTGACTGCACTAGGGAAGAACTACAAGCTGTGAACACAGAATAATGAACGAATAGGATGCCATTTTGAACTGTTGTCGGCACACAAAAAAGATACTTCTACTGCACGAGACTAATTGAATTGAAGTCAGTAAAGGAATTGCCAACCTGGGATGATGACATGTCAGCATTGCCAAATGCCAGCCTCATTTTTTGAGGACTGTTATTCATTTTGAATTTTGAAATAAATTTTATAGAAACTGTCAATTGAGGGTCCCCTATACCTCTTCACAATATGCTTTCAAGTAAAAATATTTTGCCTTTTCACGAGTCACGGATTAAGAAAATCATTGATCACGTTTCACGGCTAAGTAAAATAAGCCCTTCACGCTTCACGCAAAAAGTATAGGGGGCCCTCTCAATTACATAAATGACTTCAAAATTTGCTATTTTGTAACTTTAGTAACAATATAAAACACTCTACCAGATATTGATTTGGTGGGTTCACACAATAAAACTGACACAGAGTAATGGGCAACCTTCTGTGCTTAAATTTTCGAAATAATTTATATACAGTAGAATAAATAATTAAAGCACAATTTTCAGCTGCCTGCTGCTAAAAATTTATTCTTTTTCCTAAATATTGTATAAAAAGATCTTTGCGACTACCTCGTGGTAATAAGGCACAATAAACTACACTATTAAACTAAACTAGCTTGCCTTTCTTTTCACGCTTCATTTTAACATAGCAGTTCAAGCTTTTTTAGTTCAATGAGGAAGATAAACACCCTGCATAAGCAATAAAATACTTGCTTATTTGCATTTAATAACTTCCTTTATTTGCATTTTAACTTAAAGGCCTGTTTAAATTTGCAATTTTTTGCTGTGACTTTCTTCTGCTGATGTATGTGAATGAGTTAGGAATGTTTAGATGATGGTACATGTACATATACTCAGAGTAACTTATTCACTCATTCACATCCACCAGAGGGAGAAAATTGCACTAGAAATCACAGCAAAAACTGCAAGTGTAAAGCACTATCATGAAATAATGGTGATCAATTAGTCCAAGTCATGAGAGTGAAAGAATGGTGTGAAATCATTTTATTATATACACAGGGTTTTCAGTTGAGGCTTTGGCTAATGGCGATGAAGCTATGGCGAAAGGGAAAAGCCTAGACTATGTAGACTGCCCTGAGTTAAGTTTCACAATCATTCATGCACATGGATTATATATTGATGTAAAAGCTCTGGCGAATTTGGGTGGGGCTGAATGAAAAAGTCTGGCGAAATTCGCTGTGCGCCGGCCTAAACTGAAAACCCTGTATATACGGCAAAAAACGCTGAGCCTGCTGCTCAACAGGATTGAACAATGTTTTGCTGCCCATGTTGTTCACACTTGTCAACAATATTGAACAATGTTGTTGAGCCTGAATCGGGAGCAACAATATTGTTCAATATTGTTGGCAACTGTGAACAATGTGGGCAGCAAAGCATTGTTCAATCCTGTTTTCATCAATATTGCAACAACCTGATCATTTTTTGGATTCTCAGTGGTGGATTTATAGGGGGGTGCACATGGCCTTGGTCAACGAGGGTGCAAGGGGGATGAAAAAATTTAAACAAAATCTTATCTGTTGTCATCTGTCTTGGACTAACTTAAGTTTCGGTATTCAAGGCAGCACCACAGCATTATAGTTAATAATTTTTAAGTTTGATACTTTCATTAATTAAAATAAAACAAATTCTTAATTTTGCTGCAAACATCTAACAAGTATTTGACAATGAAAATAAAAATTACAAAAGCAATCAAATGTAAAAAAATTCCATTTTCTCTTTCACACAATCACAATATATCAATATAATTGTTAAATTATGTTTAATCAACATATCTGTAAATTCTTTGTATGTTTGCATGGCGATAAAATATATAATTATAGTTTTGTTTGTAGTAACACCACATAAATTTATTACTGCAAAGCTTTCGATCCATAAGCCCGAATCTTCATCAGTGGTAATAATATGAAAATTATTAGCAATGAAGATCCGGGCTTACGGATCGAAAGCTTTGCAGTAATAAATTTACGTGGTGTTTCCACAAACAAAACTATTATATATCTGTAAATTGTTAGCACAAAACTACTAGGTGCACTTTGCCAGTACATTGCTGGTTAGTGCTGGGTTTGGTGTGCTTGGCTACTTGCACTGCACCCCCTCCCCCTAAAAACTGAGTAGTCTTGTAATCATGATTTTTTCTGTGTTGATGTATGATGTTTGTGATGTTACTCTGAGTGTATATCCACACCGGGCAAGCTTGAAAAAAACTGGTATTCCAAAGGTTGTAGGTTCGATTCCCACCATGGCCAAGCATATTTTTCAAGCTTGCCCGGTGTGGATATACACTCAGAGTAACATCACAAACATCATAGTCTTGTAATTATGAAAATTTGTGCAAAATCCCTCAAATTGTCAAAACGTCAAGTAATTTCTCACGAATCTGCACATTCTCACGAATCAAGAACCAAGCAGATTTCTGATCTTCCTATTTGACAAAAACTCTAGTTTGCCCACAGTTAATCTTAGTCTATTAACTGTGGTTTGCCATAACTATTCTGGAAAAATATCCAACATTTCCGGTCATTTTTACAAGAAAAAACACGGAAATATGCTTCATAAGCAATATAACAGACCAATTTTGTCACTGTACAGAATCCGTCAACAAAGCTGCATAAGTTTCAGCTGAATTTTTGTCTTTTAACCTCAGTTGAAAATTAAACACAAGCTGAAATTTAATACATCTACATATATGTTTGCTCTGTTTTGAAACTTTTGCATTCCGAGATTTTCTGCAATAGACGGGTCATATGATCCGAGATATGATCCCGTAATCCCGTTTGTAAAACCAAAACTGTTGAATTAAAGCATTGATTTAAAGCACTCTTGGCCAATTCTTATCTGTTGTTATCTTAAATGGCAATAACTTGCTCATAAATTTTGAGTAATTTTAGAAACAGGACTGTCTTTAAAGCTCAGCTTACAGACTACAAATACGTGGTATACCACATACAGTAGAAGAGTAAACAGTCTCGGCGCGGTTTATTCGCCAAAATACACTGTCTGGTTTTTAAACATGAAAGCACCTGAAGACCTTTTACTCACCATAACTCCCACCGTCTTTATGGTCGCTTTCTCCCATATCAATGTCATTTGTGGTTTCGGTTTTGTTCCCACAACAACCCATTGGTGTCGAGCAAGAACGTGTCGAAAAGCCTTCGGCTTTTCGTGCACAATTCGTTTGTTTCTAATACAATTCGTTTAATATGCCGTATATTGAACGAGGCTTTTCCTAGTAAGGTGCAAAGGCTTCAAAACTTCCTCGTACGAGGTAAACAACAGTATTTCTCGCCAAAATATTAGGCACAGCAAGACATCTACAATTTAATACAGCAATTATTTACATCAAGTTGCTATGATCACTCTAGCTCTAGCTTGCCGGATCGTATTTCATGCATTCTGATTGGTCAACTGCATGTTATACGACTTTGTGATTGGTCAATTGAGTGATCGACCTCCAGGCATGTTTGTAGCAACATAGAAAATCATGGCGACGAATGACTCCACAAACATTTTCAATCTTTTTCAGACCATTTCTAGCCAGTGGAGAAAATAAGTGTTTTGGGCTTTGTAATCGTTTTCTTTGTGGTGTTTGCTAAGTCTGTATATCTGTGTATTGTGTGCCCGACACGCAGATAAATAAGAATATGTCGAGAATTTT